TTATTGATTTAGTTATCTTTATCTTGATTTATGAAAACAGAAAAAGAGGCTGATACGGCAATCAAAGTGAGATTAAAATGTGAAACATTATTTAACTGCTCTTGCTAATTACAAGGACATTGTTTTTATTCTATCTATTTTAATACGATCGGTGATCATATATATGAATGTATATCTTGGAATATGATGTGAGATGTTTCTAAAACATTTGTGAGTAGTATCAAAGTTCTACTTCAACAATCCTTATAGATCGTATTTCATTAAAACAATTTCTTACCACTACAATGTTGTAAATCAATTTGTAATATTTTTAAAAATTCACTTAAACGATAAATAAGCCATGAACGAAATAAATTTGTTTCTTTAATAAATTCATTTCTATTAAATGTTACATATAATGTTGTATCATCATCACTAAATAATGCTCGATATTGTGTAACAGTATCAAAAAGTATATTACGTGTTTCATCAATATATTTAGATGCATGTTCATAATAATCATGAATATTTGTTGATGAATATTGTTGTTGAATTAAATTTAAACGTTTATGTAAAAAATTTGTACGTGCTTGTAAAAAACAAATACGTAATTCAAGTTCATTATAAATATCCATACGACGAATAAAACCCATTATACGTAAACAAGCTGGTAATTGTATATTTGTTTGAAGTTGATTTATTAATTGTTCAAGCATATATTCAAGTGATAAACGTACATCATTAACAATAGTTATTATAATTGGTATATGTGAACTTGTTGTTGTTGTTATTTTATTTGTTGTTAAAGAAAATTTTCTTTCCAAACGTTTACAATATGTAACAATTTCAAGTGCTTCATCAAAATAATCATTACGTACACATGTATCCATTAATTGTGGAATTTCAAGTATTTCTAATATTTGTGGATATTTTTGTAATGTAAACATATTTTGTTTACGTAAATAATTTGTTTGTTCAGTTTCACGTATAAATTTTTGACAACCAAATGAAAATTCATCAAGTTGTTTTAATATAATTGATAAACGTTCTTCAATTGTTGAAAAATCATTTGAAATATTTTTTGAACATTCAGCTGTTTGAATAAATGTTGAATAATTATCAAATATTAATGATAACATTTGAGTAGATTTTGAACATTTTTCATCATTTAAATATTCTAATTCACGATGTAAACGTTCTGTATCATGTGTAAATAATGTTTGAAGATAAGGAAGATATGATGTATAATCAATTGAATTTGTTGGTTCAACAGATGAATTTTTTATTAATGATTGTAAAAGAGTTTGTTCATCTAGTTCCATGAGAAATTAATCTTAAATCAAATTATTATGAATAATTATTGAAGAACAATAAGTATAGCTATTGTAGATTTTTATTGATGCTTTTTTTTTCTATCTATATAAATAAGAATATTTCAATAGAATTTAGTTCCTATCGAACGAGCATTAACAGTGTTTTATCTAGAGTTTCTGTTCTGAAGAAATGAACACTTATTTATTAGTGGCATAGACTTATAGTATGTGATACAAAAACGGTAAATGTTAATTCAATCTTGGAAGGAGCGCCGTTCGCTGCATAATACACTTAGTATAAATAAAATACAAATATTTAAAACAGTGAGTCTAGCTCATTCTCAAAATCGCATTGAGTCTTAAGGTTCGGATTCGTAACACTTTTGAGTTCAATCATTTATGCGTAGGTGAATGATGTACGGCTAGTTACATCTGGAAGATTCTAGTAATCGAATGGAAATTTCGATCCTATGGCTGAAGTTTTCAGGTTAAAAAAATCACGGAGTTGGACTCAGGAATAATTGATTTTGGCAGTTAATTACTAAAGAGAGTCGGAATGCAATGTCTTCAAGCCTACCTATGAGAATTCTAAGTATAGGGGATAAAGAATTTCAAAGTTCAAAGACTACAGATGTTCTAGAAAAAATATCCATGATATTCACACAAACATGGCACTCAATCAAGTGTTCAAGCAGTTCTATAACGCTCTATACACCTTCAGAAATGTTGGAAAAATTATTTGAATGCCTGCTTAGTTTTCAAACTTGAACCCAAACTTGAGCGGTAAATTCGAATTCGGAATCACATTCAGCTGTCAAGCTCAACTGCAATTACCAAGCTTGAGTTTGACTTCGGAATACGTGTTTCAGTTGGTAATACAGAGATTTTTAGAGCTATGAATACTCCTTACGAAAGAATATATCGAATTATCAGTCAGTTCTCGAAGTGATATTTTTTTTCAATAAGTAGGACTCACTGAAACTAGAAAACATCTGAAAGAGTTTTTTCTCTGTAGGTATTTCTTACAGGCTTATAATCGTTTTGTTGGATTTACTCCCGACAGCAAGGTATTTATAGAAAAGTTTTTATCTGAACTTTTGTTTATAAATAGATTTCTTGATCTTTAGAATAGTCTGAAAGTGTCAGTCAAATCAGATGACTCTTTCTCAACACATGGAATACTGCAGAAGTTGACTTTATAATTTATTTTTTGTAGTATATGTTTCTTTCTTTGAATATTCAGTATTTCGAGAAGCAACTATTTGATTCGGCTGAACCTTCCGTTATAGTGTAAGGTTACTACTAAATAATAAATTATACAACGAACGGATGGAAACAATGTTTGTCAAGTCGTAGTTTTTTAGCATGAAATAGTGAATAACAGTAGGTCATCAATCGAGAATCTCTGCTTTAGTCTGTACTTAAGTATATGGTAATATTTGCAAAGAGATATTCTTGTGCTACTTTTAAATAAATCATCTCGAACGTATTTTAGTACCCTGAAGTAAATTAACTGATTTACTGAATACAAACAAAATCTCTTTTTGATCTACAACAATACATAAGTATTCATTTATCTAGAATATATATATTAAGAACTTTTTATAATTAAAACCCTTTCGAACTTACTAAAAATAAAAAAAAAACATTGAAATAATTTGATATGTTATTATTTTAATTCATTCGTATTTAAATTATAACACTCATTTATTACATATTAATTCGTCTATTCTATAGACTAATACATAATTTATGGTCATAACTATAAATCTTCTACTATTTCTATTTTAGACTAATTAAAAGAAAAACAAAGGAATCGTTTCTTTTGATTTATATATTTTTGTTTTGTTTTGTATGTATGTCAAAAGCAAAAAAACACAAAACATTCATCGATAATCATATGAGAAAAGAAAGACGAAACAACGAAAAAAAGATTAAATCTTATCATTTCATAGTAATACAATAATCAATAAGTCTATGGGAAATACATCTTGGCAAAATTGAAAGACATGTTAAATGAAGAGCATTTAACCAATAACCAGCACTACGATCACATCGACCTAATTGTCGAAGTGTTGTATCAACATATATTTGTGGTTTACATGAACCCCATATTAAATCATTATTTTGATTTAAACCATGTTTAGATAAAATATATTTTTGAAAATTTTCAACATTACATACATCATTTGACGAACGAATCCATCGAAAAGGTAAATAAACTGTTTGAAAATGAAGTAAACCATTATTAGAATATTCATCTTTACGTGCATTGAAATAAATTGTTAATAAACGATGAAGAGTAGAATTAAGACAAGATGGATGTGGAACAACATTGAGTAGATATGCAGGTTGAGATCGTGTTGACATATACGGTAGAACCTAATTTAGCAAGAAAAATCTGTTAATACACAATTTCTATGAGATTAATATATGAAACAGAATATAACTATTGTTACTAATTACATAAAATTTTTTTTTACTACGATCCAGGGACGGCAGAATGTTTCAAAATCAGATGAGGCTCAAGTCTTTCAAGCCTATACGCTCCGTCGCCTATGCTACGATCTATTTTAGCATTGATTTCTTCGTTACTGGTTATTTAATCGTCTAGAACTGTAATAAGCAAGTAGTTCATATATTCAAATTTCTACTCCATATACATCAATACTCTTTCTAGGTTATATTTTTGAGTATCCAAAAACATTTTCTCAAGTGTCAATTCATTTTTTCTAATCGAGATCATCTAGACCTTCAAGAGTTCTGAATAATAGAAATATTTCTCTAAAACAAAATGACTCACAATATATGCTAATAACATAGGTGGTATAAGATAATTATTAACAATTGATTGAAATTCCGCTGGATTGAGTGTTTTTGATAGATTTTGATCATTAAATGGTCGTGTACAATTAATATAAAGAACAAGATTTGCAGTACGTGCAATTGTTTCAATTGTTTCAAGACGATCAAATGAACCAGCACGATGAAATTTATTTGACAATGGTATTTGACCAATAGTTGGTGGTGTATTTGTTGACCATGTTCCAGCTACTGTTCGTATTGGTGTTGTTAATTCAAGTGGTTGATGTGGACTATTCCATCGATAAATAACTGTTACGGTACGAATTAAAAATGTACGTTCAATATGAGTTGAAAGTAATTTTAATTCTTCTTGAAATTCTTCTGTTGAAACTAATATAAGATTATAACCACGTTTCTTAAATAAAAATAAAAAAGATTTATAATTAAAAAAAAACAAAAACAAACACATATTTAAAAAAACTAATAATTACAGCTAAATTTTGTGCAAAAGCACAACCACTTGGTGTTGTAGAATCATTAATTAATGCCCAATGTTCATCATAATCTGATAGTAATAAATCATTATTATTAGAATTTGTTATTAATGGTGTTTTTAATAGAACTGAATTAATTTTATAAGGAAAAAAATAAAGTTTTAATGTTCGATATAAATAATATGGTAAAGGTAATACTTTTTTTAATATATAACAACCAGCTAGAAGAGCTAAACCATCTCTAAGTGGTATATAAATTGAACTAATATCTTTAGCAATAGCTTGATAAAGAAATTCAAATGAATCAATCGAAAGTGGTTGTCGAGGATCAATAATCAATAAAGGTGACATCTAAAAATACAAAATCAAGAAAAAAAATAAGAAACAGAACATTTTTTTTTTCTTTGTTTTAAATTTGAACAATTTGTTCACTATTCGAATAATTAGGAAGAATAATTTTATATTTATCTTCTAAAGCTTTAGGAACAAATCTTCCACCTAAAAAATGATATTTTCCTTGAAAATATTTCATGCATAATTTTGGTGCTGTTAATGAAATAACACATTCTGGTTGAATACAATTATCATTTATAGGACCTTTTTCAACATCCCAACCACTTGGTATATCAATTGATATAATTGGTGTTGTTTGTTCTAAAGTTTTTAGTTCTTGAAGAATACTATTAAATGGTTCACGCATTTCACCTGAAAATCCAAAACCAAATATAGCATCAATAATTAAATTTATTTGTTTTTCCGATGATATTTTATCAATTATTTTAATATTCATTTTTTCACATTGAAGAAGAAGATTTTTATATAATTGTTTATCTGTTCGTTTAGGATAAAATATTAATGGTTCATAACCAAATAATTTTAAATGACGTGCACATACAAGACCATCACCACCATTATTACCACTACCAACTATAACAAGACATTTTGAATATTTATTTCTATCATTATATGCCTTTTCTAAATTGAAAAATAAAACTCAGTATGTTTTAATTAATAGTTGATCACAAGACGAAATTTTTACTAATAACTCAATGAAGTACATCAATGAAAACAGAAATTGAAATTGAATTCAAATAAAAATTTTCTTGTCTGTTTAGATTTCTTTGTGCGCAATGTATATATATATAAGTTTAGCTTTTTATTTATTATGATACATTTTTGAAGAATAAATATTTTTAGTTTTAAATGCATCTATCACATGTTAAAGAGTAGAGATCACCATCGTGACAATGTCGCTAGGGGTAAATTTGTAAACAATCATCGCGAAGCGTCAAGGGCAATGTGTTCTTCTTGAAGAATATTGCAAAACTTCATGAAATTTCAGAATCTATAAATGTAATATTTGGAAACTCAATTACTCTTATAAAATTAGCAACAATAGTTCTAGCTAAGGATAGTCGCATGAGTGAAATTTGAAACATTTTGTTAAAATTTTATTCTTATGTGAGAATTCGAGGAAAATAAACTTATATCAATGATTAGGTTCTTCCAAGTGATTTGTAACAACTGACGAAGCTTTAAAGTATGATGAAATTAAAGGATTGCTTGAAAATTGAGTTATCTTACTTCACTGAAGCTTTCAAATGGATTGCGACTAGAGAATACGTAGAACCAAATGTAATTTTGGTACCGGTTCCAATAATTTCTTTTCTAGTAGTTTCGGTCTAGAGAAAATTATGCTATGTATCAAATTTAAAATAATTCTTTCATACTCATTTTTTATTTGTTTAATCAATGACTAGCACTTTTGTTTTCAGTCATCTCTTTTGAATGATGATTTATAAGATGATTCTCTTAAAATCATAAAATATTTAACTCTAAATTTTAATTCTGATTGAATAACTTTATTCGCGTAGTTCGGATTTCGATTTCAGCAAGTTTCTAAACATTGATCATGATCCCATACATCTGTAGTCGTAGCAATAATGTACGAACTTTTCTTTTCTATTATTACAACGCAACAGTAGCAAGTTTTTAGTGACGATAGATATCTCTGACAATTAATCAAAATAATGATAAATCAATATTTTAATATAGAGTCATTTTTTGTGTCCATTTAAATATATTTCATGCAATAAGATAATCGATTAAAAAGAAATAATTACATGTTCAATATTTTTTTTTATATAGTCGATATAATTTTATTTCTATTATCGCTCAAAACCTATTCAATGAATAACAGCCGAATATATAATCAAAAGAACAATTATACTTAAATATAATCATTCAATATTATACCTTAAAAGGAATGTGCTTGTATCAATGATTTTTTTTTTCTTGTATAATCAACGTTCTCTTACGTTTAAAACATTTGATTTCAATACATGTGATATTGAACTTATTAAAATACTAATATTTTGTTGATTTTTTGTGTCTTACCAATAGCTGATGCACAACTTAAACCAGCTAATTCCATAAGTTGATCGACACTAAATTTATATTCATTAAAAAGTTCTTCATCAATATCTTTTGCTTGTTGTTGTGTTAAATAAGATATTTTTGGTGTTGTCATTGTTCTAATCTGTTGAAATGAAAATAATCTATTGATTAATCGCATTTAAACATCTATAAAATAATAAAAACAATGATTTTATTTATTTTTTTATTTTCATAAAACATCTACTGTTCAATGAAACAAACACCATACACAACTAAACAAGTGAGGTATTTTAAAAAAGATAATATATTGAAACACACAAAAAAAAAAAAAGAGAAAAAAAAAATTTTATTTTTTATATAATTATGATTATTCATCATAGTCATTGAGAAAATCAAAACCAGTAAGATCTGGTTCACCACTAGCATTTTTTATATTTATATTATTTGATCGAAAGAAATTTGCATCTGGCATTCTTGATCGTTGTTTATTTGAATATCCTTTGATTTTTATTTCATTATCTTTGATTTTAATACGTTGTTTACCATCAATTTTATCACCAACATTAGCATATAATTCATTTATACGACTTGTTTCATCATCAGCTATTGATGATGATGAATCATTCAATATATCAAAATTTGAAGCACTTGGATTTGTTTGTTTTGATAATTGAGAAATATATGATGTTTCGTATTCATTACTTGTTGAGATGAGATTTTGTTCACTACTTTCATCATCATTATCATTATTATTATCATCATCATCATCATCGTCATCGTCATCATTATCATCATTTATTATTGATAAATGATCTTTCGTTTGAATTTGTTGTTTTTGTTTAAGTTTTCGAAAATCTTCATCATCATCATCGTCATCATCATTTTCATTTAAACCTGGAGTTTTTATTTTAACTAATAAATCTTTACGATCAATTAACGTACGTCGTTTATATTCCCTAATTAATATAAAATAAAATGAAAAAACATTTTATACAACTAAATTCTTTTAACTTACATCGATTCATCCAATTGTTCAAGTATAGGAGCTAAACGTTTCAATAATTTTGATATTAATTTATGATAAACAATAGCTGGTAATGTAAAAAGTATCAACATAACTACATATGATATATAATATCCATTTATTTTCATTCCAATATAAGCAAGTATAAGACTAATAATAATAATAATTATTGAATATTTTGCACGATTTTCTGTTTTAATTATATTTAATTTTTCATGTGTATGACATATATATTGATATAAACGTAAAATAAGTTTTGTTAATTCTGATAAATTTTTTTCTTCATCATTTAAACGTTTTTTTCTAATACAATCAAGTATATGAATTATGAATAAAACTAATGTAATAGCACAAAATGGTCTTAAACCAGCACGTGCTATAGCATAAAAAATACCATGACCAAAAATAAATGCAAATAAACTTGCATATCGATTATGCCATAATAAAAATTTTTCAACACGATGAAATACTGGTTCAAGTGTTAGAATAATATCTTCCATATCTGAAATTAAAAATTTATATTTAATTCTACTCACATACACAGACTGAAAATAATCTATAAATATAACTATGGCCATCAAAATTATCTAATCAATTGATAATTTTATGTATATTTTAAAAAATTAGATGAGTTAAAATGATTTAGGTTTTCTATCGGATTACATATCATAATCTTTAGAATTTTAATAAAGAAAAATTTAGATCAATCGATTGATTTATTTTAATGATAAAATTTTTTTTTTAGTAAACTATTACAAGATTGATTTAAATTGAAATTTTTATTTATTAAACATGATTCAATAAATTTTGCTCTACGTAAGAAGTACTGTTTATTATAGATTTTATTTGTTTAAATATAATAGTTTTTTGACCCATATGTAAAATTATTGACAAACGACACTTATTTTCTTATCATATTCACTTAATTTGATTGTTCAATATATCATTATGAAGAGTACTAAGCATTGTTTAAACTATTCTATTTATAGTTATTTAATTTTTTTTAGAGTATAAATAGATAAAATGCAAAGCTTACCATAGTCTAAGTGTATATCTGATTAAATAAATAGTTAATTTTTTGCGCGTCACATCTATGTAAGATAAAATTTAAAATAACGCGCTATGTTAACTTTTATTGTAGACATCTTTGTTTGGTAAGATACATATGCAATTTCTTTTTTTCATTAGAATTATGGTAAGTCTTTTTTTTCACGTATTTATAACGTAATAAAGCAATATAATTTAACCTATTTGATAGGTCTTGATTTCAAATATAACGATTTCTCTACAAATTTGACCCTGTTAAAACAATTTTATAGAACGTACATCTTAGTGAACATCAATTTAATGTTGTGAGACACTGATTTGTTTTGCTTATCGTAATTAAGACTTCAGCAACTATCTATAACTATTTTAATCTATAAGAAATATCATTATAGTGATTTATTACTTCATCCATTATAATTATTATGGTATACTTTTTTTCTTTTGTATCATATCATAAAAATAAAAATAAACTTTTTATCATAAACTTAGTTTTATAGATTAAAGAATCTATAACAATTTAATCATATCGCAAAATGGTTTTAAAAAAAAGAGCATTTTGATATGTCAATTGACTAAATAGCATATGAAAAAAAAAAGTGTTCCTTATCGACAATTTCTAATATGGATCAAAAGAAACCTTCGATTAAAAGTACTTCTTACGTAACGCACAACTTGTTCTATTGAATCATAGATTCTAAAGTAAATTTCAGCTTAGAACAGGATCGTAACAGTTTATAAAAAAGAAAGGTATTTTATCAACAAAAATTAAACCGATTTGTTGATCGATCTGAATTTTATGAAACACGATTTTAAAAGAATATTGAAGTGTACAAGGTAAAAATTTGTACCTACTCACCTGTTCCTCACAGACTTGCCATTTCATACCTAATTAGTAACTCATTAACGATTTCTTAATAAATAATTACTGAAAGGAGTTCTCAAGGACATAGTGGGACAAGTGAATCACCTCCTCCTGCTCAAATATCGTGACAAACATTGTTGATAGATGATCAAAGACCGTATATCAAAAACGTCTTACGAGGGAGCATTCTCAACTGTCACATCGCTTTTAAATCGAGCATATGCGCATTATGTAGATCCTAACGATCTACGAATTCTCTGAAAAAGTTCGTGTCGCTAGCTTATTATTTCTGAGATACTGCCTTTTTACTGTATGTTTAAGAAAAGAGAGCTGTGGTCCCCCTCAGGAACACTTGGAAAACTGAATTTTGAATTTCAATTTCAAACTTTGCATAGATATAGGCCTCAATGAGAATACTTTATTGTGAAAGTTTCAGCTTTTTTCGTTGCACCTATCCTAAGATACAATTATCATAAAATTGCTCATATACCCCAGCGGATCCAATGTTCTTATCTCAGACTAGGAGCAACCAAAAAATCTGAAACATTCACAATAAACTGTTCTCATTGAGGCCTATATATATGTAAAGTTTCAGGCCGAAACTCAAAACTCACTTTTCCTGATGTTCCTGAGGGGGGCCACGGCTTTTTCCGAAACATATAGTAAAAATGCTATATCTCAGCAGTAAGAAGCTAGTGGCATGAACCTTTTGGGAGGATTCATAGATCATTAGAACCTACATACAGGGGCGGCGCGAAGAGGTCAAAGCAGGGGGGGGGGGGGAATGTTGAAAAATAAGAGAAAAAATTAGGGAAAAAGTGTTGAGGGGGGGGTTACTTTCGAAAAATGGGAGAAAATGTGAAAAAACATCAAATTTTGAGGTATTGTTGAGCAAAAAAAACGAAAATTTTCAAAAGCAGGAGGGGGGTACCCCCCACCCACCCCCGCTCGCGCCGCCCCTGCCTACATAATCCCCATACGGCCGACTCAAAAGCGATGTGACACTTAAGAATGTTACCTCGTTAATATTATATATGTATGCTTCCAGTTCTAGAGAAATAAGTAAAAGAATGGTTTAGAAATATGCCGAAAAAAAAAGATAGAATAAAAGAATATTCCTATGATTACCAAGAGCAGCTACATCGTGTTTCATATTTTAGTCCCACTGGTATTGCATTAATAACTTTATTTCTTTTTTGTTTTTTTACTAGAAACTATGGATAGTAAAATCTGACAAAAACCAGATCATTTCTAACTCATCAATTTGTTGAAACATACACAAAATAATCTATTGATTAAATAATATTGATAGCTACTGTAGATAATAATTTAATTATTGACTAACAAAAACAATATCATCTTGTTTATTTTGTAAATTTGTTATTGGTTTAGAATTCATATCAATAATCATATCAAGTTGATAACGTTCATGATATTCAAAAAAAAATGTTTCAATATCATGAATACTTTTTGTTGAACCAATTATACGTGATATAGTATGAAAATCTTTTCCATATTTTGCAAATGCTTGTATAACAAGAAGAATTTCTTCTATTGACCATGTTGATGTTGTTATTTCATTTGTATTAATATTTTTTATTAGAAATGGTATATGCATTGTTTCAAGTTCAATTCTTGATTGTTTTGTTAAATATTCAATAGATTGATTATGTAATTGTATTATTGATAATTCATTACGAATATCTTCTTCTAATTTTTCAATAGAATTCATTGTTTGATTTGATGTTAAACTTTGTAAATCAATTGACATATTTTTTGGTGGTCGTTTTATTTTTTTTATTGATGATTTATTATAATAGAATTTTGATCGCATTAAATTAGAATTTTTCCAATAAATATAACATTCATCACAAAGTATACCTTTTGATGTTGAATGCATTGTTTTAGAAGTTAGTTCACAATTACAACATTCTTGTTCTTCAATACTATCTTGATGGAATGTTATGTTTGAATAATTATCCAAATTTCTGATTTAAACAAAAAAAATAAAAATAAAACAAGGAAAATTATAACATTTGAATACTTTAGAAAGCAATTCAAATGATTATTTTCTTCCATATTTTTTTGTTTTTTTATAATACTACATGAAAAATAAAAATACATTTCAAAGAATTATATTAATCGACTTTGTTTGTGAGAACTAAGAAATTTAATTTGATGTAAAACGAATTATAATTGAAGAAAAATTCTATTGTCAATCAGTCGAACTTTTTATTAACGATATTAATCATTCAAGTTGATAAATTATGAAGATTTACTTGATATTTCATTTAGATATACCCAGGTCCACTGTTCCGATCGCCGAAACCGTTTGTTTCCTTCGTTTTCCGGCAGCGAATCCTATAGATTCCGTTGGTTTTCGGTCGGCTCCGTTGACTTCCGACGATTTCTTGACTACAGGATTCCGGTCCAATTTCCGCCAGAAAAATTCCGTCAAGTTCCGCAAAATTTCGACCAGGAATTCGTCGGAAATCGACGGAAACTGATCGGAACTGGTCCAATCAAATCTGGACAGGAATCCTGTAGTAAAGAAATCGTCGGAATTCAACGGAACCGATCGGTTCCGACGTACCGAGCTTGACCTGAGTAGAGATTATGAAGAAAAAAAAATACGTTAGAATCAACCTTGACTCTATATTTCTATTTCATATTCAAGACTACATATTAAGAAATAAAGACTGTTTCTAGTCGAAAAATTAGAAGCAAGAATTCGACGACTTCCTAAACCCAGAACTAGAAAACGTCAACTATCAAATTCGATTAACTGATTTCTGTCCTGAAGTTCCTATCATTTTCCGATCGGAAATGGCATATTTCCGATGATAATATGAATTCGGGTACCAAAATTATTGATCTGGAATATTTTATTTTTCTTGTATTAAACTCACTTTGTTGATAAGCGTATTAATGTTGTATTTTTTTCATTATCACTTTCATAATCTTCATCATACGATATTAATTGACATTGTTTTTCATGTTTATCCATTAAACTTTGATATAAACGTATTTTTTTCCATGAATAATAATATCGAACAAGTTCAGCAATACTTTTCTCTGGTAACATTTGTTTAATACGTGAAAATATTTTTCCATAAAATTGATATGCTTGTTCAAATAGAAATTTTTCTTCCATTGTCCATTGATCATTTTCAGGTGTATATTGTTCCATAAGTAATTTACTTGTTGTAATTTTATATTTACATATTTGTAATATAGCTAATGCTTGTTCTTCATTCATATGATGTTTATTATAAGCATATTCAATATAATCTATTAGATCACTATCATTAATTAAATTAGTTGGTTTCCACAAAAGAGTAGCATCATGATCAGTTATTAATGATATAGAATTAAATGAAGGTATATTAGCTTGATATGATGAACCTTCATGAATTCGAATATCATTATCTGATAATGAATCGATATGATTTGATTTTTTTAATGATGTTAATGTTAATTTCATTATTTTTCTAGAACAAATGATTAATGAATAGTTGCAAATAAGATATCACAAACAACCAGAGAAAAATGAAAAAAAGAAAGAAATTTTATTTGTTTTTCTTTATATGAACAAAAAGAAGAAGCACAAGCAAAGAACAAAAAAGAAAAAAAAAAAAGAATCGTTCGTATTTAAGAATCATTTTTCTATTTATTAATAATTACTGAGATGGATAAACTGCTCCTTCAGATGGTTGAGATAATTTTGCATTCTCTTTCGATGACATATTCGCACGAATATCATTTAATACTTGATGAATAGTCATATCTCGATTCCAATTACGAAGAGCTGCAACTGATTTTGGGTCAATCTTCAATTAGAAAAAATTTTAAAGTGAAAAAATACATTTGTTTTTTTTTTTAATGTACAAAAATAAAATCTCCTTACAGAACCATTAGCTGTTACACCATTTAAATTTATACGTGTTTGAAAACGAACAGTTGGTGATTCTTCCGGATAACGATCGCCACAATAAACTTTTAATGTATAAATACGATTTTCATAAGGTGTCTGAAAAACAAAAACAACAATAAAATCAATCATGGATTCTTTTTTCTTTTTGAAATAAAATAATTTCGATTGAATTAATAAATCTTACTCTTGATGGTCCAATAATCATACAAACCCACCGGGATAATGACATGTCATCATTAGCTTCAAGACCCCATGATACTGATCTTAAGGAAAAAGATGATTTTTTTTAATATAATATATATGTTTGAAAAAAAATTACCCTTCATGATGACCCTTCTGAGCTGCTTCAAGTTCTTCTAATAATTTAAAATTTCGTGGAACAACTAAATAAATAATAAACAAATTAATAATTATTTTATTAATATATATATATGAGAATACCTGTTCGCGATGAAAAACTACCAGCCATTATTTGGCAATATAAAAAATCTTTAATAAAAAAAATATATATATATTTAATATTTCATAAATTAATCAAACTAAGAAAGGAAATCATAAATAAACAATAATCAGTAGTAGATAAGTATTGGTGTTCGTTTCTCCTTCTTTTTTGCTGTCGATACTTTATCCAATAGGATTTCAATGATAGTATGTAGAGAGGCAAAAAGTGCTTACGATGGCGACTAGACAACTAAGTGTGCGCCAATTTATTGAAAGCATCGAATCAATACTATGTTAATATAGATGTTTGTAACAATGAATATCATATGTCAGTATTTAGTAATATTAAGCTTTTGCTTTCGATCGTTGGAGAACTTCATTTTATTATGAGGCTCATTTGGCAGCAGTTGATTTTGATCAGTGAAGGACAACATAAAATGACCGATGTCGACTGACCAATAATAAGCATGCCGAAGATTACTTGCATACTGTCCAAAATCATATATTTCTTCGTGCTATCGCCAGAATACCGCGATACTCATAAGAACTGACAATCATGACTTTCGGTTCCAGCAATAAACGAATGTAGGCAATGTTTCCTACTCAGATTTGAATTATTTATTAGAAAGAATTCATATTAATCCTAGAAGAAAACAGATTTAGAATATATTTTATTAATAAGAATTTTTGCAGCGCCATCTATAGTAAACATTTCTCTCATGCAAAAGGGGGAGGGACAAAGATTTGATTTTCTAACGAAAATGGACCTTGTCTAGATCTTCTATTTCAAATGACACAAGTCTGAAAATTCGACCATAGATACTACTTGTCGAGATGATTATTTTTTGTAGTGAACGTTTTTCCCCCCTCACATTCTGTTTTTTGGAGAAAATCCTACCAAAAATGCTAATTTTTTATGTTTTTTCGACTGGGATATTTCTGTGAAGCCCAAACAGAATTTCAACTTTTATTAGTTTTTTAAAATCATCTAAATGTTCTCTATCTAATGCCGAAACTTCCAGTTCTGTAGCCTGTTCCTCGACTGAATGGCAAACGTATCTTTGGGATCTACTTTCGATTTTTTCGTAACTTTGTACCTCATTTAGGCAAAACGACGGGATTCCCAAAGCCTGCCATATAAGTGGGTCTTCATTCCGATGAAGAACCACTTATATGGCAGGCTTTGGGAATCTTGGTGTATGGGTGTAAATGTGGCTGAGGGTGTGAGTGGATGTGGATATTCGCTTCATCTATACCCACAACAGAACTCACACTCATACCCACAGCCACATCCTAAATCATGTTAATCAAAAATTATTGTACACTTTAAAACAAAAATAAGTACATTACTGTACCTTCAAAGTTTCATATATAGATACGAATGTATTTCACGTTTTGAACAATGAAAATCCTTTCGCACTCTTATCTAACTTCTTGTAGTTCAGAGAAATTCAACAGATTTAGTATTGTTTCTCATACTTAATATGATTTGTATAAAATATTCTATACCGCAAAGTCTACTGAATGACAAAAAAAAACAGTTCGAATTGCGTGATATTTCAATTTTTTTTTTGAAAATTTTCGATAGCAATCTCATCTACGTTTTGTAATTCAGAACATCGAATTATCTTCTTTGAGTCAATTGATAGTTCATCACAGTTAAGAGTAATTTGAGAAAAAAAAACAACGAAGTTAATTCTACTAATTTTGAATTTGCCTAGATTCATGAATAAATCTCATAATTTTTTCATTTTAAATTAATCAAATGTTTCTTAGTATAACACACTAAGAGAAAACAAATACTTTTCTAAAAGTTTAAACAATTGAAGATTATTACAAGCATTTCTGATTGTTTTGGTCATAGCCATCAGAGGAAAACCATGATCAAGTAACAATACATTGGCCCATTTTCTAATAAACAGAATTCAAACAGTGATAATTCAAGAGTCTCAATGAATAAATTTTTTTTGGAAAATCAATATTAAAAGCATACGGTCGAGCCTTCAGCGAAAAGAACTTCCGAAAATCTCCTATAAGTGGCAGCCAATACAAATGTCTAGTCGTAGCAGTAAAAATATTCTTTGTATAGTAATGAAGCTCTGTGAGACAAAATTTTTCCGTGTCATTAATCTCGTTTCTTCATGATCGTTCTATTTTCAAAACGTCATATGACACGGAACAAACTGGACTGTTTTGAAAAACTCTATATAGTATCAACATACAAGCTGCGATGTCTTTCACATAAAATCGTAAAAAAATTATTTATTACTAAATATCCTATGTGAAAAATTAACGGCGAGATGAGAAGATTACACTTTTCTTTAAATGTAAAAATCTATCTATTTTGTCACTATGCATTCATTAATTCTATCTTTACAGTATGAGATATATATTTGACTGATTTTTTTGAATCAGACATTTGCATAAATTTGAACTATTCTTTCTTCATGAATGAGAATTTATTGAAAAAAATTTTTTCTTATGTCGCACATTGCTGGATTATTTTTATAGAAATAATTGTATTTGTCACCGTTTTCTACCAATGATAAGTCGAGTTTTCTTGTCCCTCTGACATGTAGAAGAAAGGAAAACAGATTTATTTGTCTTCCTTCAGAGATTCAGCTATTCCGGTATAAGCCAACAATTTTTATTAATCATTGATTCAACTTATTCTCTACGGAATTGTTTAAACTAGATAGATTTTTTTTGTATAATTTATAATTTAACGAAAAATTAAATGTATTTAGTATAGAGAATAGTTTTGCTTTTTTTTTACTTATAAATATCAGTACTATTTATTATTTTAAAGATGAAATGATTCGACGTATAATATCAAATAATGCATGTTTTTCTTTTCAACAAACATCAAATCTCTTATCATTATTTAAGAAACGAATAATTTTACATACATATTATCATAGTGATTCAATTGACGGAGGTTTTTCAGAAGAAACAACATTTGATGAACAACGTCTTTCTTCACAAGAAGCATCAGGAATATTACGAGCACATGAAGCTAGTATTGATCTTGAAGCCAATTGTCCAGTAAAATATTATGAAGTTAATTATCTCGGTGCTAATAATCCACCGGGTATGTGTTTTATATATATATATATTGATGAGTTTTACTTCGAGAAAAACATAAGCTAATCAAATATTTGAAAAGAATGAATGTAGACACATTATTTTTCCCTGTTAAATATTGTATTTGAATGGTTTTATTAATCATAGCCATTCACAATAAGACTGAAAACACAGTTACAGATTATATTCTTCATAGGTATGTGTTTATTTTTACATTAGTCAGTATAATTTTTGCAAAGCATTATAAAAGATAGAAAAGTTGAATTCGTTTAGTATGAACAAAAACATTATCTCGATGTTTTCTAACAATTCCTAAAGAACATCAATCATTCATCCATAAGAAAAAACAACAAATATGACATTATCATTATCGTATGTATCAGAAGACAAAAAAAAAAAACAATGTTGTTTTTTTTTTTTTGTTTTACAAAAACATCTATTCATATTTAATATTAATCACTATTATGTTCGAAAAATTCATTTCCTAATAACTGATATTAGATGTTATTTATTTCTCTTAAGAGGATCGACAAGCTCAAGCTCGTATGCGTTCAACTGATTCAAATATGTATCTATTTGGTGTATTTGATGGACATGGTGGTCCATGGTGTTCAGATGTTGTTGGTCAACGTCTATTTGAATATATTGCTGTAACATTACATCCACCAAATGATTTACAAAGAATAATGCAAGAAGGTAAACGATTAATAAGTAGTCATCCAACACATACTCATAGTCATGATAAAACATCATTAAATACTATAACATCATTACTTCTTCATTCATATTATAATCCATATAAAGATACACGAAATTCAAAAATTAAAGAAATTCATCAATTAAATTTATTAAAACATATTGAAGATCTTTATACAACAATTGATCATGATAATACGGATATTGTTGCTGCATTAGAAAGTGCATTTATTAAATTAGATCGTGATATATGTGCTGAAGCAATACCTATTGATACACATCATGTTGATGAAGATTTATTACAAATTTGTACAGCCGGTTCATGTGCATGTGTTGCTCTAGTTAAAGATGATGATCTTTATATTGCTAATTGTGGTGATGCACGAGCTATACTTGGTAAGTGAAATTATTTTTATTTACTAGAGTAAAATCTCTTCGATGTACACACGATCGAGACTGATCACAAGTATTCATTATTGAGAAGCTTTTATTTTCATTTGTTTTTTCTTTGTTACAACGTATCAATATTAATTTGCAATCACTTGTCGACTGCATAAAGTGATTTATTTTCAACTATTTATGAATTCAACTTCTTTTATCAGAGATAAATCAATAAATATTGACATGATTTGATATTACTAGTTGTTAACATAGAAACAACGGGATGTTACATCAAGCACTGTCGCCTTCTTTTTTTTGTCTTTTAGAAATCTTAATGACTAGTCTATCTTCTTATATGTGTTTCATGTGATTGTTTATCATAATATACATAGCATCAGTTTCTTTTTTCTTGAAAACATTCAAAAATCACTAAGCAAGTTTAAGTAGCAGAATTCTGTCTAGAGAGGTCCTAAGAAGATATTTGTTTTTTTTTATACCGTTCTCTACTTTGTCTGAATTTTTTTCTTTCTTCTTCCAAGTCATCAAGAAGCACTTGGGAAAAAGTTTAGAACAGCAATTCGTTCAGTTCACTGTGTTCTATTCTTGGGCGTAGTAGATCTTTTCTCATTTAATCATGAAGATCCACTCCAAACTTATATCGAACGATATATTTCGAAGAGATTAAATAATATATTCTCATCTGATTTAGACTTCTCGTTCTTTTTAGAAGATATTTTATTAAGGATAATTATTGTAAATTGACTAATGATCGTATTGATCAATTATTTCCGATGAAGTAAATCACGAGATTAACGTTCAAACACTATTTACTACCTTTCTAGCCTTTCATTTTTCTGTTAGAATGGTTTCGTTCGCTATGTTTCTCTGGTATATTGTTTGTTTTCTTCTTTTCTTTCGTTCTTATCCTTTGGTTTATCATCAAATTCCTGTAGGCACTTGCAAGTGTCGTAATAGAATAGAGCGTAAACAAAAAAACAAACAACGTCATTTTCTTCTCGTTCTGCATACGACTGATACAACGTACGTTACCCATAGAGATATGCCGTGCCCATTTTAGTTACGGTCACCGCGATCAAAACGACGACAGAAAAATTGACACAACCAGAGCTTAAGAGTATAGTGGGTGTGGTTGCAAGCAAATTATCTTATAAATCATATCAATCAGAACATCATTCATAAGGGATGGCCCAAAAAAAATGTTAGCCATTTGATAAATAAATCAAAAAATGAGTGTTGGAAAATTAGTACAGATGTGATACGAATAAGTTCTGAAATTATTTTCTCTATATCGGGAGAACCGGCACTAGAGATCTGTGGAGTTAAGTTTTTTTTACTCCGATTCCAACTTCGACTTTACTAGACTCGAAGTCGAAATCGGGTTTTGAAGTTGAATTGCAAGTCTCTAACCGATACTTAGCAAACTAAAATCACTGGTATCGTGCCCAATAGAAAAGAACTACTGAGATTGAATGGATGAGAATAGCTGTTAGTGCAATCTCTGCAGGATTAAAATATGCAATACAATGGAGCGAGTAATATTGTAAAGGAGAAAATTAAAGAGTTACATTTCCGTTGATGAATTTCCACCTACTGTTAATACATGCAGTGTATAAAAGATATTGATCGCAATACATTACAATGAGTGTGATAGAAAATTAAAGAACAACTATCACACGCATCTCGCGGCTATGTCCATTACGTATGTGATCTAGAGAAAAGGTCAAAACTTTTATCTCTATACTTTTCTATTCTCTTTTTAACATCATATCTCATAAAAAAAAAATTATCGAAACAAAAATAAACTTGATTTCGGATATCTCTAGTTACTTCAATTCTAGAGATTATTATTTCCTCATCGGGCCAATAAGAGGCGTCTACTGTTCAGATCAAGGATGTACTCATTATGGAGAGATTTTACTGTATTAATCAATAAAAAACTAAAATAAAAACCAATAATTTTTCTTTTTCTAGGTAGTATTGATGATGAAGGCAATCAAACAGTTATTCATCTTTCTCAAGATCATAATATACGTAATCAAGCTGAAGTTAAACGAGTTTTAAGTGAACATCCAATAAATGAATCGAATTCATTAATACGTAGTGATCGTTTACTTGGTTTATTAATGCCATTTCGTGCATTTGGTGATATACGTTTTAAATGGCCAGCTAATTATCTTCGTGAATATTTACAACCATATTATAAAAAAGGTGATGCTATACCACAATATTATTTAACACCACCATATTTAACTGTTCGACCAGAAATTTCAAAACATAAATTAACAAAAAAAGATAAATTTCTTGTCTTAGCTACAGATGGTGTTTGGGATTTATTATCATCTGAAAGAGTTGTACAACTTATATTTAATCATCAAAAAGGTATACAAAGTTTTGATCGATTTGTATTACATAAAACTGGTAGTACAACAATACTTAAATTAAAAGAAATTAATGAATTATTACTTGCACGACAACAAGCTATTAAAAATCAACCAATTGATCAAAATTCAGCAACACATTTAATACGTCATGCACTTGCATATACATCAAAAGGACAATTTGATAGTAAACTTTTATCTGATGTATTAACATTTCCTAATCCACGTTCAATACGTGATGATATAACAATAACTGTTGTGTATTTTGATCAAGATTATATTGATCATATACAAACAAAAGAAAAGACAAAATAAAGAAGAAAATATATGAAAAATTTTTGTATTAAATAGGGTTTCTTTTTTTTTAATGATGTCTCTATTTGATATGAAAACAAGTTTTTCATTTATTTTTCTAACCTTTTACCTTTCTGAGCACGACTTTTTTTTTTCTCTACTTATTACATGTATTCCACATGAAAACTATAATAGAATTGTATTGGTTTATTCTTATTGTTTAATAAGAATTTTATAGAATAAAACTTTAGTAATATATATTTATTCAAAATAATTTCAACGAATATTCATAATATTTATTTATTATTTAATTAAAATTCATGTTTAGAATATCATATGAAATAGACGCTAATCGACGTTCTAACCATTTTTTTGCGAGTACAAACATATTGTATGTGATGCAATAATCACAAATTTTGCTATGGTCAAGTCAATCTTCAGAGAAAGACATCTAGATATAAAGACTAATGTCCTGCACAGGTAAGCTTTTCCAACTCAAAATCGGACCAACACTTTTTTGTACTCAGGTCTACATTGGAGCTAATCAACATTTAGCAGATATTTTTATTGTCATGGTACAGTCTTCAAACTTTTATTTTACATGAAAAAATATATTGCTTAGTTTTTTTAATAAACAACAGCAAGAAAAGAGATCATAGCGAATTTTACAAAAAAATCATGTGATTCCAGATTCACTTGATTATTTTTCTACTAGTAAAATTCGATCAGTTTCACTAAAACGAATGCTTATTCCATCACGATAATATATATTCGCATTTTCGATAATTATTCTTCCTCTCTATGCATTCAATTACTTCATCAACATTTGTAGATGAGTTTTCATTATAAATAGATTCGCTGAGTACAATAATATCGATTTTCATTGCTATGCTTGTACGTAAATAGCAGTTTATAAACCTTACTGCTATTAGTTCTTTGGTTTTTATTTTATTCTTTTTATAAATACCACAGAAAAATAAAAATAAATTACATGTCATATAATCATCTATCATCAATTTCAATAATACGAAACAAAAATTTTCAGTTTAGATTATCTCTATTATGTCGACTATTAATTATATACGAATCTAATAAAATAGTAAGTGAACAAGACAGTATAGTATACAGCATCATATACACTGTTATTGAATTCAAACTACAGATCAACTGAAAAAAAATGAGCAAGAAAAACAAATTTAGGATCATAAAGCTAACGACTTTAACAAAAGTAAAAAAACGACCCCATAACATCAGGACCCACGAGAAATGGTATACAACACATATCTTTCGATCATCACACAAATCAAAAACGACATCCTTATTGCTGAGGTAAAATGTTTATATTATGGTTGTTCGATACACTCATATCCTCAATTGCCACATAATTTATGTCGAGAATAATGATAAACACTTTTTGTCTTGAGAAAAACAACCTACATTTGATAAGATATGTTTATGTATTATTATCAATTAAAAATAATCAACTGATCTATTTCTCTAAATATCACTGTCAAAAGTTTATATGTAATCGTTAAAGTTTAATGACGAAAAACTTAAAAGAACTTCTCTATTCATTACAGAGAAGCAATTCCACCGTATGCTACTAAAATAAATACATGATCGTTATTTTGAGTAATCACTAATTGAACATACGATAAATATGTATAATCAAGCCATGAAAATTGATCAAATTCTACATTTGGACTTTCACAAAAACATGATGCATGATTGAAACCTTTTGTTGTTTTTTGCTAATTTTTCAATATTAACTCGATAGAATAAACTAGGATTTGATTGTGAAATTGAACGTTATAATGTTCGAACACAGCTGTATAAAAGATAATTCAGATCCAAATTATGTAGTATTTCATCGGATAGGCGTTCAACAATTAGTTGATGTGTATCAAAATCAAAAATAAGATGATTATAACAAACAATTAAAGTTCCAACGTCGCTTAGATTTGGACAATTAGCTGCACAGAAACAAATGAAAGTAGCAATATCTTTTGCAGATAATATTCGATATAGACTGAAATCTCGATCTTGTTCGATTTGTTTCAATAAATATTTACGTTAACCAAATGTTTCATGTTCAGACATTTCTTGACCGCTTGGATCATACTTACCATGATCATCATTAGTAATATTTATATATGAATCAATGAGTTTGTCTTTATCATTCAAAGTATGTTTTAGTTCATAACCGACAATATCGAAGTCATCATCTGGTCCATCAATTATTTTTACTGTTAAATGAAAACGTAATAGAAGGTCTTGTCCAATAAATTGTGATTGATGATGCTTTGCCATATAAGTACGATCAACACTATGATCTAAATCGATTTATGGTTGTTGTTTTTGATCATCTTTTTGTTCAACTCGATAGAGAGAATCATAACAATTTCGATTATAAAACGCATTGAATAGAAATCTTTTCATGTTCACTTCACATTCTTCATGTGTATTTCGAGCATAGGGAACAGTATACGTTGTTGAATTTTTGTTATGTCCTAATAGAAAAAAAAGCATAAATGGCAGCAACACGACAACATTGATCAATATGTTGATAAAAAAAATTTGAATCTGAGAAATGAAATAATGTTTGACTACCCAATTGAGTATCAATTGTTGAAATAAATTTTGTTCAAAGTTTTTCAATTCTTGACTTTTTCAAACAATTTTCGGTAATTGAAAATCAGGAAAAGCAAATATTAAATGTTGAATATCTTGTTGGTGTATATGTTTAAATATAGAAAGCCAAATTTCGGTTGGTAATTGTTCGATCAATTTTTTTTCTTCATCTGGATTCATAATTGATTCTTTTGATTTTAATTCAAGTAAATGTGGATAATTAATGTACACGCCAGAATTAAAGAGAAGTGGATGGATGTAAGATCAATAATTCGATAACAGCAACAGCTAGTAACTCGTGGGTTCTAGCAATCGAAAAAGAAGGACTCTAGACATCTTTTGTTCATGCTAAATAAGGCAAAATTATCGTCGAATACATTGTCAGAAAACATTTATAACAATCCGCGAAAACGTTGTTCCACTTAAAGAAAGTTTTCATAAAAAGTCAAAAAATATTGTTGATAACCGATGGAATTCTAAGTAATACCACTGAATGGATACGTATTTTTTTGCGTACTATTGAGACATGACATAATAATCACCTTCTTCGTAACTTGAACTATAAGTCTGAAGTCCCTCTATCAGAAGCATAGACCAAAAGTAAAATTACATCGAAATAGCACATCCTTGTCATAGATGCTTTTGAATACTTTGCAAAAATGAGTAGATTTTACAATAGTTTTATTTTCTATAGTATCAAACAAAAAGACATTCGGAGTTCTTCTCTTTCGGTTACTAAAATCTGCATTAGCAACAGTTGTTCTCCAATATGCTTGCTTCATTAGAAGTTGGAAATAGTTTTTGAAAAATAACAGGTTAATAGAAACTAGAAAACAGCTAAAAAAGTGCGGTGAGAAATATTGATTAAATAAAGCAGCATGTTACCATAGATCAAAAGGAGATTCATCATAAAATTATAAGCACCAATGTTGTTTTCTTTTTGTTCTCATTATTTTATAAGCTACTCATCTAGGGTGTGAATGTAAGTGTGACCAACAAGAATATCCATCTCTACGACCGCAAACACACCCTGCCGGCCATATGTATGTAGGGCATACCAAAAGTCTTTACCGAGCTATATCAATTTCTTATAGGATGCTTGAAGAAATTTTCTTTTTATATAGACTGATAGTAAAAACAAAGCTCTACGTTTCTACATTATTTGATCATTATTCATCTAATATCATAATTCTAAAATTTCCATTAGACTGGTTTAACTATGATTTGCAACAATAACATTAGTCAATATTAATTTCAATGTGGGTGTTGGTGTAGGTGTCGGTGTGTATGGGTATGAGTGTGGGCTTGGCGTGTGAGCATAACACATAGTCACACGCATACTCACACTCAGCCGCACCCATACCCACATTGTAGACAATATTGACTAATGTTATTGTTACATATCATTGCTAAACCAGTCTAATGGAAATGTTAGAATTATGATATTAGATGAATAATGATCAAATAATGTAGAAATGTAGAGCTTTGTTTTTACTATCAATCTATATAAAAAGAAAATTTCTTCAAGCATCCTATAAGAAATTCATATAGCTGCGTAAAGACTTTTGGTATGTCCTAAGTATCTCGAAAAACTCTAAAAATTAGGTTGTCATGTACTCGAAAAAGTTTTTTTTTTCATATAATATACAAGAAGTTTCATTCAAAAAGAAACAAACCACTGTAGATTTACAGGCTCTTACAAACAAAACAAAAAGTAATTGTTTGCAAAGAAAGTTCTTCAAGACTTTTAGATTGCGCGATCGAATGAGCATAAATAGAGAACAAAATGAAATAGCTCTTATCGAAGTCTATGATTTCGGCAGAAATTCATCGAAAACTGTTAGAAACTTGAAAGCATTAATCTGATGATCGGCTCTGTCCGGAACTAGAAAAACTCAACTACCGAACTTCTTCCTTCAAGTTCCTACCATCTACCAATAAAAACCAAACCGTATTAAGTGATCTAGCCTGCCTTCTCTAAAAAAAAAAACATTTTTCTTCCAGCAGAAAATGACAGAAACCAATGTACTAAATAAAAAGTCGTATTGTTTGTCAAATATTCGACTTCAAGTCGAAGTCAAAAAACTAATGAACAATGTTCTATCATCTTTATATTTGAATAAAAAAACAACCCGTAGTTCATAAATGTATGTTACAAAACAAAAATATCTGACATGATGTTCATTATAAAAATAAAAGTTGATATACTATTATGAATAATAAGTATGTGCACCAGGTGAAGCTATGCCTAAAGTTGACGTTGATTTGCATAAATAATCTAATTGATTACTTTCACATTCATTATCTTCATCATTAGATGATACAGATTCAAGTTCAATTTGTTCATCATTTTGTGCATATGTATCTGTATTAGAATGTATTGTTGTATCAGTAAAATGATGTGGTTCAATAGCTGTATCAAAACCAAATGATGAAGCTATATGTTTTGTTGATTGTTGACTACTTTGATCAGTTGAAGGAGTTGTTATTGATGGAACTATATTGGAAAGAAGATTATGTGATGGACGTTTACTTGATAATGGTGTATTCATATCTTCATAATCATGTTGTTGATTATTGTTATTTTCAATATCTTCAATATCAGATGGTGGTGGAGGAAACTCAATTGTTGGTTCAATTTTAACACGACGAGCACGATAAGTAAAACGATCAGAACGTGGAGTTAATAGATTTTCATTAGCACTATTTGAATCAGTTGATATTTTTTGTGATGAGGTCTAAAGAAAAAAAAAATTGTAAGTTTTTTTTCTCAATGATTTTATATTTATTAATTTTTACAGGTAAATCATGATGTTCGATTATTTTTGATGGTGATAATTGTTGATGTTCACGTTTTGGAACATGATATATTGAAGTGACTGTTACTTTACAACTAGTTATTGGTGTCGGTGGTAGAGTTAATGCTCGTGGAGGTTGTTCAACCTATTTTATATTTAAACAAAAATTTCTTAATGCAATCCTGGAAAGATAAAAATATGAAACACAATATAGCAACTCTTGCTAATTATAGAGAGAGATTGTTATATTCGTTCTATTTTGAGACACATTTCTTCATTATCATTTTACTTAAGGAGTATCCCTATCTCCTTTCGGACGTTTCTGAAGAACAAATTATCCAACAAAAAATAAATTTAATTTGTGAATACAGCTGTTTGTGACAGCTACGACATATCCTGTTACATAAATTTGACTTGTTAACGTTTAAAGACAATTTTTCGACTTAAAAATGTATTCAGTGGATACATACTACTACGGAGTGTATCATGATCTCAAAAAAAGCCAAAACGAAAACATAACAAACAAAAAGGGAGAGTTTTCTTAGTCCTTCAGAAATGTAATAACGAGATACTTTATATATTAGAATGAGACATTATTTATATACGATTTTCGATTGTATATCAATAACGCTGATGTCGATCTGTAATAGTATCTAGCTAGCGTCTGACTATGAATATCCAAGTGGATATTAAGTGAAAATATTGAAAGCATACTTTTTAATGGTTTAAATAGAGTAATGTAGACTCTGACATAGAAATTATTTTTATGACATAAAAGTCTGTGTTATTCTCGTTAACAAGAGTCAGACAACTTCGTCAAAAAATTCCACTAGTAAGAGTTAGAAATCAATTTTATTGTGAATATGAAAATACTTCTGAGAAAATTATATGCACTCTATTGATTCGCAAAAGATAATTTTCGCTTCTATCAGCTTGGGATTCAAAAAATATCATTCCTTTTTAACATCGGCTACTTTTACTGTAACATCTATTCAATATAATGAACTTGCACAATTTTCCACAACTTCAAATTGAACAATATTTCTATCAACCGTTCTTTCGCTCGTAACATCTACATAACATCAGCATGAATCAGTGTGACGTAGAAACATTTTTATTGAAGACTAACTTCACATTTGAAATCTGAACTGAAAAATGCATTGAATGGCATGTAATGTTGTATTCTTCTTATACAAAAAAAATCTTTCACTTATGAATAGAGTATGAGTCTCTCACAATGGTTTTTCAGTTAAAAAAAATGATTTTTTTTAAAGATTATACTAACATTTGAGAGATGGTAAAGTTACTTTAAGGAATAAAGAAGATCTTTCTAAATTAAAAAATGACATGCTTATCTCATCTATAGAAAGATACACACTATCCATCTGTCATGGTCTATCTCTATATTATTGGCGGAAAAAATATCTAAGTTTTCGATTCAAACGAGACCTGAACGTTTGCTGGAAAATGTTACTGACTTCTGTACTAACAAGATTCCAAATTTTTAGTCATTTACTTCAACGTTCCTATTAGATAGGGTGTCACAAAAAAATTAAGTCTAACTTGAACACGTGGAACACGTAATTTCGATGATTTTGGATTATTAGTTGTTGCTGTTAATGGTGCTCGTGGAGTACGTTCATAATTATTTACTAATATTTTTGGAGTCATATCAAGTGAAGTGATTTCAGATGATTCATCTTGTCGATAGTTAGGATCAGAATTTGTTGATTTAGGTAAAGACTGTATTGAAGGACTATAATATTTGAAGAAAAAAAAATTTTTTTATATGATATGAATATGTTCAATATTATTTTTTTTTTACATAGGAGGTTTTGATTGAATAACCCATGGATGTGTTTTTGCCCATGAATTAAACCAATCAAGATTATATCGACTATCGAGTACACCCGGCATTCGTTTATCAAGATAAGCAAACATTTTTTGTCGTTTTGATACTGATTCTTGTGTTGCTGCCCAATGAATAGGTGTTAAATTAGAATTATCTTTCATTTTTAAACATTCATAAACATGTTTATCTTCTTGTTGTTGTTCTTCATCAATATTAGTATTTTCTTCTTTTTTTATTGATAATAACATATGTAAAATTGGTACATTACCTAATCGACAAGCAATATGAATTGCTGTATGTCCAGCTGCAAGACGTCTTCAAAAAAAGAAATATTAAAAAATAGAATTAATTTTGAAAAAAAAAAAGAAATTAAATCATACAATTTTGGATTAGCTTTATTTGCCAAGAGATATTCAACACAAAGTATTTGATTGTAATATGTAGCTGTTGAAAGTGCTGATTCACCATATAAATTAAGTGCATTAACATCAACACCTAATCAATACAAAAAAAAAAACATTTGTTTACATATAGATATTTTAATTATTTTGTAAAAAGCTAAAAGAAAATTTCTATTTATATGATTTAATAATGATAACAATACTCAATATTTCTCTGCTGTTTATCGAAATGATTCCAAATTGTTGCATAGTGTTGTAAACAAGTTCATGAATTCTTTGAGTAAAGAAGAGTATAGAAAAACGTTCGGTAAATGGACTCAATGGCTACAATTAGTGTGAATAATTAGAATGATTATTTCAAATATTTAATAAACTTGCTTCAGTATTTCTTTTTTGTTCTATCGCTAATAGTATTGTTTTTACTATCAAACCATATATATAGTTTCTTTAAGCTTTTCACTAAGAGTTAAAATATCTTTGCTACTCCTTTTTTGTGTTCCCTGCATGTTGAACCCGTTTTTCGCTATCTGACTTTTAGCAACATGAGTCTTTTTTTCAATTGAACCTACACTCTATCGAACGATGATGCAAGGTGTGTCAAAACACAGAATAGTTTAAAAAGATAGAGACACACATAGTGTTCTATCTGTTGTGAATATTGTCATAATTTCAGTGGAAAATGAGCAATAAAATACCAAGCAACAATTATTATTATTATCGCAATTTCAAGAGTTTCGACTATTGCGCTAACTGAACAACGATGTCAGAATTCCACAGCACTATAATTGTCCAACTTTACCTCAAAAGGAATTTTGAACACATATTAGGATAGAGCAAAAAAGATCTGATTTTAACCCACGCCGTAATTGGCCGAAAATTGACGAGAGATCTATCTGAATGGATATTCACAGTTTGAGCTTCTATTGAGTTCACAAGTAGGTCTCAGTAAAATTAGAAAATTTATAAAAGCGTTCGTACTCATGTGCCTCTCGAACCAAGTTATGATCATCCTACTGAATTTTCGATTCAGGCTTAGGCATTATCCGAAAAATGAAATAATTAAATTTTCGTCTGAAATTTTGTCTGTAGATAAGTCCAATGGCTTTGTATATATATTCTGAAAGCTTTAGGCGATAAGAATATTTGTCGAAATATTATAATTTCTAAAAAAAACTGGACGTTCTCTACAAAAAATCTAGTGTACTTCAAAATTTAATAACTCGACAACGGAACATTGTTTTCAACTGATACTTTCAGAATATTCTCAAACTCATCATACCTATCTATGAAGAAAACTTCAGGTCGAAATTCCACTATTCGATAAATACTTAAAGCGGAATCAAAAATTCACTAACATAGTCATAAATCGACTCCAAAAGTCGATGAGTACGACATTCATCTTACTAAGCATATATCTTAATTATTAAAGAGGAATACATATAAGATTTTTGAGAACATATCTAAATAACTTACTATGTGATTGTAAACATTTTTGAATTTTAACCGTTTGGCCTAATCGTGCAAACTGACAAAAATCGTCGGCATTAGCCATAATCTGAAAACATACAAACCTTGCAAGAAAAGTTTCTTTTCTTTACTTTTTCTTCATGGTTTTCTTGAATTCGTTACATTTTAATCTCAATGTATCCTTCGTTCTTTTTCTTATTTTTTTTTTGTTTTTTAAATAAATAATAATCATATTTTAATGTAAATTATATACAAAATAGTTTTTAATTAAAATCAAAAAAACAAAGAATGTCTAAGCTGTTGTATAAGGATGTGTTCGTTTTGATTTCATAGTTGATGATAATTGTTTTAATGAACGATTGGTTGAATTACTAATCGATGATGAAATTTCTTCATTATGTTGTTTATTATCATTCATTGACAAGAGTGTACTTGATGATAATGAATTAATTCTATGATCATGTTCAATTTCTGAATGATTTTTATTCATTGAATGAAGTAATGTTAAATAAATATCAGTTAGTGTATCATTATCTGATAGTCCTTCACTAACTGTTGTTGCTGGTGATGAAGATAAATTATCAGATTGATTTTCATCTGTTGATGGAAGATTATCACAAATATTAGAACTGTCATTATCTACTATTGATTGTGGTATTATTTGAGATGAGGATGCTATTGATGGTGATAAAGGAACTTGTATTTCATTATGAGAACAAGTTTTTTGACTCATCCAAAGTGTAAGAAATTTTCCTTGACTATCAATTGTAGATCGTCGATTTGATACATCAATTCCATCAACTATGACAAATTCAATATCTAAATAAAAATATAGATGTTGATAAAAATAATAATAATAATAATAATAATACAAATTAACCTTGTTGTTGATAAACATTTAAAATCGAACATAATGTTTGATCAAATTCAATAATATAAATTAAATCATAAATAATTCCTTGTGTATTAATTAATTGATCTTTAGCATTAATATGCAATCGATTTACTGTTAATGCTAAACATGGACTAAATCTATAATGCAAATAATAGAATTTAGTTGTTTTGTTTTTGTTTGAAAGAAATTTTTCTAACTTTTTGAATGTTACAGTTTTCAATTGATTTTTATCACTACATCGAAAACATATACAAGATAATTGACTTGATTCAATTAGTAATCTTAATTGTATTTCATTAATATCATGAATAACATCATCAATACTAGAAAATAAAATTATTAATGAAAGAATTCTTTTAATTAGTTGACAAGATCATTTGAGTTTTTTTTTAATGGTAGAATTATATTCAAACTTCTTAGACTAATCTTTCGATTAAATTGAAGCCTTTCATACCTTCAAAAATAAGGAAAGGAAGTTACTGAATCACAAAAAATCCTTGGATATGATCAGCCAGCAGTGTCACATATCCAAAATTTTGAAGATGCATCCACGTCTAGCGCAGAAGATGCGGCATTTACTGCAAGAGATGTGAGTGTGGGTGCGGGGGATGTGCATCTCTAAAAGAGATGATACGTCTTCAATGGAAAATGACGGCGTCTCCTGAAGGAGATTCCGCGTCTCCCGTGGGAGATGCGGCATCTCCGGCGAGAGATGTAGGCGCATCTCCAAAATTTTGGATATGTGACACTGCTGGAAAGATCCAATCTCATTCTATTCTCTCATTGATTTATTTTGATTTCAATAATTCTGAACGAAAATAGATTTTGTTTTGAAGTAAATCAAAATCATAGCTTTTAACTATTAAACTCGAAATGAATTTTGATAGTTATACTAAAATAAAATTTATCTTTCAATTAATACCTATTCAATATTGTACAATCACATTCATGACATTGACAATATTCATCAACAATAGTTGAAAATAATTCTTTGAGACATGAATCAGTACGAAATAGACGACGAATATTTTGTATTATATTCGTATGTAAAGAATTTTGTCTACAATATTCAATTAAATATTTATCAATAATTGTATTTATTAAAAAATCAATATTAATAAATGATAAAATAAGTTTAGAATCAACAGCTTTTTACCTAAAAGCTGGATTCCAGACATTTTAAGATAACGACATGTGAGCGTCATCAGATAGAGCTTGAAGCCTGTGTTTTCTTTTTCAAGTTTATAGCCACTATCTAACGTCAAACTACACATATCGCCATCTTTTAATATTTACCTATAATAGTAGAAAAGAAAAATATTAATGAATAACAAGAAATATTTTATTAATCCCAATACTAAAATTTTGTTTTCTTAACTTTAAATGAGTTAATATTATTTCTTTTTTTGTGTGTGTGTGTGTTTCATGACTCACTTTAATATATTTTGTAAAATATTTGAATAATCATTCAAAAGTTTAATTTGATCAATTGATGAAGAAAATAATGCTTGAGAAAGATTATCAAATATTGATGAATTTCGTGAATAACGATATAATATATCACTAAGACATGTTGCTATTATATATAAATTTGATGAAATTTTTCGAGCAGTATTTAATCTCGACCAAATATTTTCACTTGTCATTTTAAAAAATAATTTAAATAGTTTTTATGAAAAACTAATTGTACAATTTATTTATTTATTTATTTATTTATTTATTTATTTAGAGGTTTATTTTCTTAGAAAATGGTTGATAAATATCACTGTCCTTGAGCGACTTCTATCGATCAATATATATGTTCTATTCTCATTAATCAATTGTTTGTTGAGAATACAAGTACGTGAGATTGTAAATTAGATAATGATGTGTCTCGTTCACCTGTAATATAAATAAAAAAGGCTTACCGTTCACCATTCTTTCTTATTTCATGTAGACAATGACCTCGTTATCTAAACACGTTTTGAACAATTAGTAAATGGATTATGAGCTTCAATTCAATAGTATGAAAGAATATATGAAAACTTTTATTCAAATCACACGTCATTGCAATAGAAAGAAATCAAAGTGAATGATACAATCTATTAATGAAGGTTAAAAACGTGAGTTTATGTTGAAAATATGTTATTGAATATATTTTTATTATTTTATAGTTCTGAACATATATCATTCAATAAAAATGATTGTAATTGAACAACATTTGTTAGTTTTTGTTTTCATGCTTTTTATATCAAGACAAACAATTGTTAATGGTATTGCTGGTCGATGTTATTTATGTTCACAAAATACACTTGCCGAATGTGCTGGTAGTAATCAACCTGATTCATCTATTTACACAAATGTTCTTCAATATTATACCGAACCATGTAATGGTCAATGTGTATTATTTCGAAATGAAGATCGTTCAATTATACGTGGATGTTCATGGACATATGGACATATGACACCTAAATCAATTGGATGGCATGAAATAAGTCCAGGTGTAAAAGCTTATTTTTGTGATTCTCATTTATGTAATAATGGTACTTATGAACAACCGGAAATATCAATGACGAGAACAGCAATGATAAATAATCAATTTATTTTATCAGCTCAAGAATTATTTCTAGTAGCAACAAATAATCCTTCATTGATACAAAACGGTACGTTGGATGTAAGATATTTGATTACGATATGAACAAGTAGCAAATTCAAGGTCCTATAGTGAATTCATCAAAATGTATGAGAGAATATCCTCAACTGTCGAATAGAGTTTTTCGCTTACGGTTATTGCCATTCGATCGGTCATAATGCAAAGTAAAAAAAAAATATTCTTTTTTGATTATGTTTTCAAGTCTTCCATTGCTAAGTTATGGATATTTACCCTATTAGATTAGAATCGTTGAGAAGCTGAAATTTGATTAGTCACTAGAAACACAGCAAAGTTCGAATAAAGATAGAAATGTTCTTTCTTCAAAATATAAATATCTTAATAAGATTGCGTTTATTCAGATTCAAATTTTGAAGCTTTTCTAGTGACTATGAGACTTTTTTGTGGACAAAGTTTCAGCTTCTTAATGATCCTATGCTACTAGGACAAAGATCAAGAAAACGTTCATAATTGGGTTAGCGAATACTGAAACAACAAACTAAATCAGACTTTTTTTTACTATTCATCATGACTGATCGAATAATCACGAGTGTTTTAGTCAAATATCTAAAACAACAATTTATATTTTTAGGACAATATTTGCCTCTTCAAGTGCATCAATGTTATTCATGTACTGCACGTTTTAAAGGTTGTGGTGAAGTATTAGATCCACATTATGCATCAAATTATATTCGTCCATGTCCATCAAGTTGTATTATTTTTCGAAATCCTAATGATCTCAATTGTAAATATATTATACTTTTCATTTAAACACAAACACAAATGTCTTTTGTTTTGTTTTGTTTATATTGAAGTAATTACACGAGATTGTTCAATACTTTGGCCACAAGTACAAGCTAAAAATGGTCTTCATAAATTACTTGGTTCAGATGCATTCTTCTGTCAAGAGTCTTTGTAAGAAAAATAAATATAAACTAATCAAAATATTCTTCTTTTTTTCTTTCAAAGATGCAATGGGATTAACTTTGATTTCATTATTGGTTCGTATAAAGTTTTTATTATCTACTTCGAATAAAGAGTCATAATTTCAGTTCTAGTTCGAATCTCAGAAACTGTTGAAAACATTCTCTAATATGTCTGAACAATTCTTTTGTTCTATTATTGAAATATATATCGTTTCGAAAATAGAACAGAGTTTTTTCGAACCACTCAGTTTCAGAAGCTGAACAGCTTGATCCTAATTTCGAAAATAATAATTAACTACAGATATCTTTATGATAATTAGGAATTTTTCATAATCAATTACCAGTTGTTGTACAAGTTACAACAAATGAAAATATTTTGACAACAATAACAACAACAACTACTGCTACTATTACTACAATGAAAACAACTATTGATATCTATAATGATAATTTAATATGGGACGACCCTGATTTAGATTTTGTTCCTATTGAATCTACAACACCAGATGTTTTGAATAATTTTATTACTTCTTCTACGCTAATTGATCATTTTGATTTTGTTAATGAAATAGCTCCTAGTAGTACAATTGTTGATGGTTTAGCTACTGTACAACCAAATTTAACATTAAATTGGTGGAGTTTGAATGATACTTTACTTTCGTCAACTTCTATGACTTCAACATTAGTGTCATCAACTCTAGAATTAGATGAAGATGATTCAATAATATTTAATACAACTTTAATACCATCAATTACACGTTTTGAACATTTATTGGACGATGATGATGATGATGATATTGAAAATAGTAGTGAAGAAATCGATGAAGAGTTATTTACATCTAGTACCAATTTAAATCCGAACTTAAATGTAAATATGAGTAATTATAGTCTTATCTCCACATTAACAACAACAACAACAACATCAATTATTGATTTAATTGACAACTATAATAATAATACTCAACCATTTGATCCATTTTATTTTTATAATAAAACAAAACATTACTTATTTGAATACATGAAACCTTCATCAACATTTTCTATACCACCAATCTCTTCGATGTTGACTAGGATAACACAAAATAGAAGTCAAGTTTTTAATTCAACAATACCAACCAAAAAGCAAACTAACAAAATAATAAATACAACAAGTAAAACATCACATATATTTTATGAATATTGTAAAAATAAACAATGTTATCATGGTGGACGTTTAAATTCTGATTGTTTATGTATTTGTCTACCTGCTTTTACAGGAGATAACTGCGAAACAGGTAAAAAAAAAACGCTTTTTTCAAAAATAGAAATGTATTTTATTTTTTATATAGTACTTTGTGAACAAGAACCAACACATATTTGTGCTTTTGTACTTGATCATGAATGCCAGACTAATTATATTCGATATTTATGTCCTAAATTTTGTCAGATGAATAATTGTTCTTCGCTAGAAATGTGAGTTTTCCGATGTCTTGTATATGAATTATTAATAAAAACATTCAATCTTTGTATGATGTATCTTTTTAATGCTTGCATAATCTATGAAAGGTGTCAGTAATTCAACAATCGATACAGAAAAGAATTCAGTTTCGATATTTTTTATTTTGTATTTGATAAAGCTCAACGAACACTACAAAAATACATCTATAAAAAAATTTACAAGGATTAACATTGAAACAACAAATTGGGCTTAAAAGAAAGAATTAAAAAATGCAGTAACATTAAAAGCATCAAGCCTCACTCCAGTACTGTCAGCATTATGTGTAGATCCTGACAAGCCATAAATACCCTGAAAATACAGAGCACCGGTAAAATTAATTTTTGAAATTCGACTTGGAATTTTACGTAGAAACCATTCTCAGTAATGTCTATCTCTACGTACAGTTTAAAAACAAAATTATAAAATAAGCTTGTTAACACAGCACCTTGATATCTAAAATGTAGAACTCACATGTTGTATATTCTCATTATATTAATACAAGAACATCAAGTGAAAAGTTTCAAGCACACTATAGTTGTTTTCCAATGGTAATCGATGGCTAGAGGAACGATCTCTCTTATTTATTTCTGCATTTTGAACAAGACATGTTCTGCTTTTTTAATTCATTTTCATTAATCTAATCATTGATTTAACTCGCAAATAAGCCTGCCGTACATACTCATTATATCTGCAGTAGGTCTCAATGCACTATTAGATATCTCGATAGATTCAGAAACACTAATATTGATTATTCCCCAAAGCTATAACTTAATCAGTTCATGCGTTTTATGTTGTTCGAACGACGACTGTGATAAATCAATGCATCCCGATATATCATCCTTGACATCTTGAATGTAAATTTTTATCTATGCAAAAATCAGAAACTTCATTATTTCGAACATTCACAAACGTATTAGAGCCATTCAAATTTCGAGAAAGGTTTTCAAGTGTTCTAGAACAGCTCAGTACTTCTTATTGATACTGTTTAGGACTGATTTCCGTTGCTAAGGAACTTTGAAAAAGGAGCTTGATGTCTGTTATCATCGGTTGCTAGAGAACTATCACCAATGATCATTGGTATCTCTTCTACTCCTCCCTTCTTTTCATTGTTAGAAAAAGCACACTCATTGACATTTGACCTCCGTCCTCGGCTGCTAGTATCTGTTGCGAAAAGAGAGAAGCCGCAAAGCTTCGACTCGAAACTCAGACTAACTACATTTTTCTTCGAAAAACATAGTGTAAGTTCTACAAACTACCATAAAAATTCAGCTTTATGCAGCAATAAGCTTGAACCCCAAATTGTTGTTAGGGTATTCGTAGTTCATTAGGATTCACATAATACACGTAGTCCTAAATCTAGAGCGGTGTTCTCTCATCCGTAGGAGGCCATCATAAAAATTTGTGTATCCTCGTACTTTTACGTTTGAGCGTTGCTGAGAAAATCGATTGCTTTCATACCACAATTAAAATAGTTACAAAATATGGTTGTAATGAAAACTATTTTTTCTATAAACTCAAACTGAATCAAAAGGTGTACATATTCCGTACATCTGCACACTGGTGAGATTTGATGCTTTTAATTGTAATGCATTTTTTAAGGATTTTTCAGTTAAACTTGTCCATTGTTTCTTTCAGCATTATTCTATGAAAACTTATTGCTAGACATATTCTTGTTGCTCTCTCGTCGAGCTCGATCGAACATGACATAGGCATATCAAAATTTCTTGTTTTTCCGGTCGATTTTTAAATTACTGTAACTTTTCTTATTTGAAATAATCAATGCATGATAACGGCTACATGAATTTAAATCGATTCAGTTTTTTTTCTCATTACGTTGTTAATATGCCTCGGTATCATTATGGATATCTGATCAAAGGAAAAAAAGAAAATATCGTACGATACAATACATCATTCTGTACAAAGCTATTAGTTGTATACCTGTCACATGACAAAAAAATATATAAAGAGAGAAAATATGAGATAAAATCGAAAGTAATTACAAAAAAAACATTTTTGTGTTCTTTCTTATTGGATATTATTACGTTTAAAGTATAGCGAGACTCAATAAAGGGTAAAAACTGTCCTAAGGTGACGAACAAACAAAGTGTAGTTCCTATATTTACTTGTTCTGGACATAAACATCGGTTGGAATAGATTACACAAACCATGACCAGTCAAGAAACATTATCAGTACCTCGTGATTTTATTTGTCCAATAACTCGAGAAATTATGCAAAATCCTGTTTTACTTGTTGAAGATGTAAGTTTGTTCAACAATAATAATATAAATTATACATATAATATTAATGTAGGGTCATTCGTATGAATCACATGCTATAGAACGTTGGTTACAAGATCATAATTCTTCACCAATAACAAATAAATCTTTGGACGATCGTCGTTTTGTAAATAATTTTAATTTAAAAAATGCTATTGAAGAATATTGCGCACAACAAAAAATGATTTTATCTTCTAATCAATTTCTTACATTTAATATTCGTTATAGTCGTATTCCTACTGCATGGAATGATAAACCTAAACTTACTATTCGTGTGAGTCTTCTTGGTAGTTCGAATACTGGTAAAACAACACTTGCTCATTATCTTCAATATGGTTCACAATTAACTCTTATGCAGTCAAGTTCTTCAGTAACTGTAGGACCTGATCTTCACTTCTTTTATTTGGATCAATTATATGAAGACAAATATGTTGTTATAATTCAACTTTCGGATATACCTGGCATGGAACGTTTTGAATCATGTTGTGACAATCATTTTCGTAGTTGTCATGGTGCACTTTTAGTTACTGATTCAACAGATATTGATTCGTTGGAACGTGTAGAACTTCATTGGTATAAACAATTACAATTAAAAGGAAAAGAACATGTAGAATCTATACTTGTTTGCAATAAAATTGATTTATTTGAAAAAGATTGTGATGATGATTATCGACGAATATTTTTGGAACGAGCTGCACATTTTGCAGCATTACATAATATGTCTATCTGTCATACATCTGCATTACGTGGTGATAATATTCAATATATGTTTAAACAATTGATATTAAGGATTCTACAAAATGAATCATTATTACAACAGATCAAAGAAAATAATTCGTTGTGTAATAAATCATCACTTAAACTAGAACCAATACAACTTGCACCATCTATTAAAATTTTACTTGAACCATCATGCAGGCAAAATAGTTGTGATAGAAACTCATCTCGAAATTGTTGTTCATCTGCTTGAATTTTTTTTCTTTTTAATTTTTTGTAAATATATATAGTGAGGAAAATATAAGTTCTTCAAACTCTAAAGGCATTCGTCCAAATTAGATTTTAAATCACCAAAATATACGGAAAGGTTCCTTCAAGATGGTTTCGTTAATATTGGTAATCTTCGTTGTCGAGTAAACGCTTTCAAACCAGCGATGCATCTACGAAACGAATTAAAAAGTCACAATGAATCAGATGGCTGATCAGAAATATTCAGTGAAGAACATCATGTAACTGATAAAATTCTCCTCCACAATGTTCTCAGACAACATAGTTGATGATGATCTTAGAAAGTAGCTGTCAAAAATTTATCATTATATTAAACATGTCAAGCGATGGAATTGTAAAGATGACTTACAAGATCCAATGAAACACGTCCAAATTGATTTTATTATCACTAACAAACACTGAAATTATCCTTTAAAATAGTTTCACTGTCATCAGTGGACTTTGTTGTCTCATATGTTACTTCGACGCTATCCTCAACAATACAATCCATTTTTTTGTACAAGAATATCCTAGACTCTATATCTGAATAGATGCTTATCATGGTTTTCATTTATAACTTGATATGACTAAATTTAAAGTCGTTACAACCTAGATGCTTTGTTTGATCAAAATTGTCAAATCTTTATCTTGAGACATGTATCTCTTAAAATCTAAAATAGAAATAAAAGTATGTGCCATCATAGCTTGCTCTACATAATACATAATCCGTTTTTTTCTCAACTTTATCCAACAATTGTACGTATGAAAGAGTGACAATGATTTGCCATGGTTGCATTGATGAATTTCAATCAAAATAAGGCAATCTTTTAGTAAAAATATCATCTTCAGTTGTGTTTTTTAACACCGAATGTTTTTAATTAACAGTTGGGATTTTTTTTGAAAGAGTACCACAATAACAATAACAATTCTCTCGACAATATGGATGCTTCTGAGCTATTAGAATTGAATATTCTAAACATAACTACTAAAGTGAAAAAATAATCTAAATATTCCGATCTGACTTAGACAATATGTAAAAGTAAATTTTCCAATAAAACTAGGTCATTAATAAAGTTAATCTCATCATAAAAGCAATTTTTTCATTAAGATAAGTTCTCTAATAAGTTTCTTTTTTGTTAAGAATAGTAAACTATCATCATTAATGTTATAAATTAGATAAAGCTATGTTGAGTTTTTATGTACAACGATGAAATCAAAACCCCAACTGTGTTCATTTATATTAGATCATGCCTTATGAAAGATAAACTAACTGTATTATTTTGTAATTCATTTAAACAAAAATTAGTTTTTTTGGATCATTCGTTTTGTTTCGGTATAGAGACGATTTGTATTGAGAGATACTAGTAAGATAAACGTTAAGAAACAAAAGAACAATATTTAGGCAAAGAAAACTATCCTAAATTTGACATAGTGGACTCTTTTCTTAACTAATATTCGTTCCGAAAATTCTGATAATGATATAAATTTTTCTATTTTTCCATAGAATTCAATAAAACATAAATAATTAAATGTCTATGCTATTTCATGGAAGAAAACCAATTACATAAAACTCATATATATCTTAACAGAAAAAAAGTATAATAGCATGATAGAGTTGAAAAGCACATTTTTGCATTTGTTATTTAAAATGTTATAATAAAGCTTTCTGCTAGCAAAGTCGCTCTGAAAATTCGTAAGATGTAAAAAGGCTTTAATATAGCTTGTAAGATTGGTAGCGTATAATTCATGAGCTACTTAAATTATTTCATTCAATAGTTTGAAGAATTGTTTCGAATTAGATTGATTAGTTTATTGAAGAAAAACAGCCGCCCAAGTGCACCTATTCTTGTCGAATCTAATCGGATAAAGATAACTTCGATCGGATCCAGTCACATTGTCGCGAGAATCATTGTTATCAGATTCCGATAAAATTCCAATGAGAATTGGCTCATAGAGTGGTTCGTCGTAGGCAATTTTAAAGGAATGTTTATTGAATAAAAAAATCAAAACATTGTGGTAAGCCATACAAAAGTCCATCGAATATATTATGTTGGTTTTTTTCTCAACACTTTATCCTTCAGCATTTGCATATAATGAACAACACTCGTTGAATTTCGTGACTTATTATAGTTCTATCAAACTGAATTAAAAGAGTATTGCTATTCTTAATATTTTTTTTAAATTTATAATCATTTTCGCTTATAGCAATAACTTCTTTAAAATTGATACTATCAATATTTTCAGATTCACTCATGTTCTGACTTTTCTTTGTACAAAGCATTCATGTCGTATGTGATTCATCAAAAATCGAAAGTTAACTGCGATTTATTCTTCTTTTTACCAATTTTATACTGACATTGTTTTTATTAGATTGGGATTATCTGTCATGAAAGCATTGAGTGATTCGTAATTACAACGAAAAAAAACCGCGTATCCACATATAAGTAGACGTAGTTTCTCACAATCTCAATTGAATTGTATCGCAGTTATACGTATGCTTACGAAAGAAGTCTCGCAATCACGCGTGGTTATGATAAAGTGTTGTATTTACGCGTAACTACACTGACACGTTTCGCAATAACGAGCCAGACTGATCGCATTACGACCATAACTACACTAAAATCGATTAAAGTCGAGCCGATCAGTCGTTATTAATAATCTCAGTTTAGAATACTAGATAGTGCTGTGATTTACTCTAATAGTTTTTGTGGCGTTATGTTTAATATATTATCAAACTCGCACACTACGCAAAAACAGTAGATTTTGGCTAACACGCTCGACTTGGGCTCGATTATGACTGAAGCCTGAAATTTTTCTAAGAGTTTAGAAATATTCATTGAAAGAGGTATAAAACGAAATTCAAACAAACAGAAAATCCACGGTTAACTGTGTGTGTCAGATCAAAGTAACTAATCAACTTTGGTCAGTTGGTTAACAAGACATGGACACCAAAGTACTTTTTAATTATTATTCGATTGTTTAAAATTTGCTTTATTTATTCAACAAATGTCGCATTTGCAACATACAATAGAGTGATAATAAGAGACAGAACAAGTAAAGTTTTATAATACACTATAAAGATACACTATGTCAGAAAAATGAAGAAATAGTTAGTTAAACATGTATTGATTTTTAATTAAATATCGTATTTCTCATGTTTGACATAGTAGACTTAACCATATTGTTTATTTGAAGTATGGCACAAGTGCTAGCGATAAACATGTTACGAAATGGCATATCATTGCTCAATTAAATGTTGAATTACACTTTGGGAATGGTTTAGCTTTTGTAGCTTTCCAACCGTACATTCTTGGAAATTCGATACTTGGAGTATATTTCAATTAAGAATAAAATTGATTTTGTGGCCTGTGTTGTTGGAGAAAGCGAAATGGCATTACAAACGCATTTAGAAAAACCGATGTATGAAAATAACCGAAATAATGAGCTGAGTAAAAGACACGATTCTTTGCGATTGATGAATATATTAATACTTAGTTAATTATATTTGTAGCTTAGTTATGCATCTTCTTTTTTAGTTTTCTCTAGTTAATTTCTATTACTAATATAACTCTAAAATTAACTAAACCACGGGTCACTTATGTAGGGAACAAACTACAGGTTTGCCGTATTAGTAATGATACTTACGTGGCAGTTGTTATGAACAATATCTAAGGGATTTCTCATAATATCTTGTTTCCAGTTGGATGCATTATTTTAGATAAGCTTTTTCATTAATAAACTGACAATACTGGTAACGTGATTGAAACTGTATTAGACTTTTTCATCGTTGTTAATGATTGCTAACTAAATGACCAGTATTAATAATCAGTATAATTCAGAAAGGTTCAACAAAATAATGAGGTATGATTTCTTCATTGTGAAATATATCGAACCATTATTACAAAACTTGACTTATAGCTTGTATTGTTTGGTAATGGCAGGCAGAAGAATATAGTTCATTGCAGCTTGATTTGTATAAGGTTTGACTGATTGATTTTTTTTGCCTTGAAATATCACAGCTACACTGACAACGCACAAATGACTAGGATATGGAATGTAAGGGGATATACAAATCATAATAAAGCTGCTGATTTTTTGATCGTATTCATTAACAGTTATTTGTAAGATTCTAAATATGAATGGCATAAAGCTATGTAGCTATGATAACGAGAACTAAATCAATTCACATATAATATTAATGTGACCTTTGACACTACTACATGAACGAAAAAAATGAAAGAAGTGAGATATGTATATAGAGTGCACGACTTACCGACCGCTGATTTACTATCCGTTGATTAGATAAAATTCATTTCAATTAACGAATTTTTGGTGTGATGATTTACTGTCCGTTCATTGAAAAAAAAACATTATTCCAATTAATGTTTTTCGTGTATGAGGATTTACTGTTCGTTGATTAATATGAGAGAGAGAAATGAAATGAAAAATTCATAACGACAATCAACAAAAATTTTCCAAACGAAAGAAATAATCATCAATAAGCAAATAAGGCATTCAATTTCTGATTGTGAATAATTGTGCATGAGTAGTACTTATTTAATTAAAAGAAAAAATAATCATTATAGTTCTAGTTTTTGTGAAAATATATATAAAAGTGAATATGTCGAATCTTGTTTGCCTATTTTTCTTCAAAATGTCTACTAAATTTGTTGAATCGACACATGGAAAACGACAATTATGTTATAAGGGTTATCGTTATTGTTTGAAACGTAAAAATCAAAACAGTTCTGAATATTGGTCATGTGTCAAATGTCAAGCAGCAGCAACAAGTTATTCAGATTCTACTGTCATAGAACGTGGTGAGCACACACATTTACCAGATGAAACTGATAAAGATATATTAGAAATGCGACAAAATTTAAAGCGCAAAGCTGTTGAAGAATTTGGTCCAATAAATATTATGATAGAAGAAGCATTTCATGCAATTGATCACCAATGGCAATCAAAAGTTATTTATTCATATATTTACTGTTGATTTTTTTTTGTTCTTATTCACATTGATTCTCGTTATGAATATTCACTTCATTTCTCTCTCTCATATTAATCAACGAACAGTAAATCCTCACCAACAAAAATTTCAGTTTTTCAAGGAAAAATTCAATTAAAATAGAAAATCAACCAACGATCAGCAAATCCGCGGTCGGTAAATCGTGTAAACCATATATATAGATATATGTATACAGAGAGAGAGAAAACAAGAAAAGCCCATCGTTCTTGTACAGATATTTGTCATCCCTCAATCTTTTACGTAAATATGACTGAAAACGAACTATATGAATAATTACCATGAAGAGGAAAAAACATTGTTGATATGAGATATTATATTATAATTTTACTTTAATATAGTCAGTAACGTAGCTACGGGCACGGCCATCGTGTAATTACCGACAAATTCAAACCTATTAGTTCATGGATTTGTTTTCAAATAATACCAATTATTAAATACCAAAAAATTTTCATGCACATAAATGTACAAAGACCTAAGTCATATCATTTTAATACATCCTATCTTCTTGTGATATAATCAAGTGATCCACAAAGATCCACTGATTCTTTTTTCTATTAAATCGATGCTCACAATGATGACAACTGATTGGTATTTCTTTTTCAAAATATTTTTTATTACACTTAAATTTACTAATGGTTTCATTTGTGCTTATTTATACTTTTTGATATCATATATTCAAATATTTGAAAATTGAAGACTATATTTCTGAAACAAAGAGTACAAAAAAAACGAACGAGCTTGACTGCTAGCAGAGTTTGAATCGGTAAGAAAATTATAAAATGATCTGGTTCGGTCGGTTGGAATCACATGTCCTACCAGTGAAATTTCAGCAAAAACCGGCGAAAAAGTGGCGAATTTTTTTGAAAAACGGTATTTTAGAAAGAATGGCTCCAAATATGAAGTAGTTTAGGAGTGTATATAAAAGACACTCATCATAATGAGTCTTATTAAAGAGAACCTCAGAATAAATGATTAAATTAAGACATGTTTTGAGCACTTTTTCTACATATTCTGACAGAAACACATATGACATCTTAGTTTTTATGGCCAAAAAACTGTTGACAAAGACTTTTCAAAACTTTTAACCGATAAAATTACCGTCACTACCAGTCCGGTTGACTTCTTCAATCGGTTTCAGTCCTGGTATGAGTGCAGGTAGTTGAAAATTATATGTTTTCTCATCAATCTTCGAAGAAGTTCGGCTGAGAACAAGTATTTTAAAAATACTTTTACAGAATTTCAATTCGTAATGAAATGCGATTAAAACTTTTAAAAACCCTGTGGAAAAGATATGGTTAATGTTTACAATTCATGAGACATTCCTATTTTGTCAATGGGATATCGAGAATATTCTAGCTGATTAGCGTAATCGTACCTTGTCTCTAGGTGAATATACTAATGCAAAGGACACGCGAAAATCAAAAAAATAGTTTTTCCTGAATGTTCTGCTTTTCTCATCTAAAATATGTATCTTCGAATTTTATTATCAAATCGTCTGGTTATGCCTATGCATGATAAATAAAAGCAACAAAATTAAAAATACAAGGTACACAATACTATACGATGCGAGAATCAACGACAACAAGTCGTTTTTTATTCCAACTTTGGTGCATTGCCAACAGTTTTGAAAGGCTTCCTATACATATATCGATAATGCATCATTTCATCTAATTGATAGCAAAAATTGTAAAACATGTTTTTGAAAAAAGAGAGAGCAAAATGAAGATATTTTCAAAATTTCAACAGGTGAATTTCCGGTTTTTACCGACCCGGTTCCAACTCTGAGTCATAGTTGAGAGTAATGAACTTCTCTTCAAGAAACATCGAGTTTTGTGTTGGCAATAAGTTTAAAAAATACTGTCATATGTATAATCAACAAATGACTACATACGGATAAGTTTTCGCATAAAGATGGAAGTCTAAACACCAGTGAACTTTCACTACAACTACCGCTATCTAACAACAATAGAAAAGATGCTCGTTCAGCAAACCGTTAGATAATTATTAAATACAGTAAGCAATTGTAAATTTCTGGTGCCACTTTTCTATTGTACAAGCTTATTTTTGACAAGCGCTACTTTTGGTCCTTCTCAGTCGATCAAATTAGCATTTATCACGCAATATTTGTTCTACAATTCATCCGATGAACTATTATCTATTTATTTTTTTCAAATCAAATATCTGCATAATACATTCATTTCCAAGCTAAACAATTAATTAGATTACAGTTTATTCATGATTACAAATATATAATCTAATTGTAAAATATAAAAAGTATACATGACATTATGGACCAAATAACACACAGATAATCATTAGAAATTAGAAGAAATTGTAAATCATTTTTTTCTCTCTAAACAATAAAGAAACATTTCATCAATATACGACAGAAAAAAAAAGAATTTCTTACTGGTTGAATTTGCTTGTTGAAGTTGATTTTTTAATCGAAGTAGTTCTTGTTCATGGTCGAGTTTAGCATTTTCCATTTCGACCATATATTCATCTAGAAAAAAGGAATCAGTATAATAATATAAATTTCATTATTATAAATTTACTTTTTACTAATATAATTCTTGTTTCATATTCAATAATTTTTTCTTTCATAATTTTTTCCTCAGCTTGTTTATCTTCTGCATATTTTTGTTCAGTATTAGCTTGCTTTTCAAGAAGATTATCATACATTTGTTGTAGATCATTTAACTGTTTTGTTAATTCATCATTTGAAATTTGTTTTTCTGTCATTTCGTTAATAGCTTGATTTGTGAATTGTTGTTCATTTTCATTTTTAAAATCTTTAAGGTCTTGTTGAAGTTTTTCATTTACTTGTGTTAAATTTTCCGTCTAAATAAAGAGAAAAGAAAACTGTTAGTGTAATCCATACAGGATTAAAATGTGAAACATGATGTAGCTGCTGTTGCTAATCACAATGAAACTACTTAATGTATCTATTTCAAGACACATTTCTTCACCATCCTTTCACTTAAGCTTTCAGAAATGCAGTGAGAAAGTAGTTTATATATTATAACAAAATGTTATCGATATATGGTCTTTGATTGTATATCAATAACATTTGCCATGGTCTATGATAAAGGAGAAACGTTGCTAGGATGTATGTCATAATTGTGATCAGCTGTTTCTAATGTGCCTGTCACGGTTAGAGGCGTAAGCCAATGCATTGATCTGCAATGGCTGGAATTGTTAGATGAAATTTTGAAATGTAAAAAAAAGTGACAGTAGAGATTTTAATGACAATAAACGAAACAGTAACACCTGAAAAAATTCATTTGAAAGGTCGGAAAAGTTTTAAAAAACAAAATATCTATTTTTATGTTGTGGCGATGATTCAGCCGATCGATTTATGCTCCTAATCAGTCTATCGATCTCATCTGGCATGATCTATAGACGGTAGAAATGGAGAAATGATGCACATTTCTACACTGTATACTTTAACAATCGTTCTAAATCCTGTTTGACGATACTTTGTTAAGTGATGTATTAACTTACACGTTGAATAAGTTCATTTTGTGTTTGTTCATATTGCTGTTTCCAATTTGTTAGTTCTTGATTTTCTTGATGTTGTTTATCAAGTTCAATTTTTAATTGATTTATTTGTTCAAGTTTACTTTCATTTTGTTGTTGTAGTTCTTCAAGATTTTTATTTAAGTGATTGAATTTCAATTCATATTCATTTATTTGTTCTTCCGTTTGATTTAATTCGTTATTTTTTGTATCATCTGACAAAAAAAAGCATATATTTTCAGAAGAGAATGTGTCAAAAAAAAACTACGAACGATATTTTTGTAATTCAATATTTTTTGTTTTGAGAATTTCAATTTGTTTGTCAAAATCTTGTTGCATTGTCATCATTAAATTATTTAATTCTTTTTCATTAGATTCTTTTTCTTCTTGTAAATTTGCCAATTCAGATTTAATATTTTCAATTTCATGTGAAGAAAGTTCTAGATCCTTTTCATATTCATCAATCTGTTGTTTATATTGTGATTCATGTTCATTAAGAATCATGTTATCGTTACGTTCTAAAATGAACATTAAAAGTGTGATTAACAAAACAAAGAGGAAACACGAATTTACCTCTTTCATTTTGAAGTTTTTCATTATCTCGTTTTAAGGTATTGATAGTTTCATTGAATTGATTCTCGATAGTGTTTTTGTCTTCTCTTAATTTAATTAATTCAGATTGAAGATTTTGTATTTCATCAAGTGATTGATGTTTCTTGGTTTCAAGCTCTTTTATCTGAGCTTGATAATGAGCTTCACGTTCATTCGTAGCCATATTCTGTGTACGATCTAGACGATAGGAAATGGGATGGACATTGGAAAAATAAGTGTATAATGAAACCTCGATCTTCTAATTCAGTTTGAAGTCTTTCAATGTCTTGTTTTAATAGAATGCTTGTATCCTCGAATTTCGATTTTTCTTCTAGTAATTCTGTTAATTGAGTTTGAATACGTTGACTTGCAAGAATAGCTTCTTCTAATTTATCTTCATAGTCTTTTCTTTGTTGTTCAAATTCTGATTCATGTTGATGTACAGTTTTTTCTTCTGTATGTTCGATGATTAAAAAAAGAAAGAAAAAACTCAATGGAATAACTAATAATAACTAACCTCGTTCATTTAATTCATCTATTTCAGTTTGAAGCTCTTTACAATGTCTTTCATGATCTTGTTTTAAGGAATCGATAGTTTCATTGAATTGATTTTCGATAGTGTTTTTGTCTTCTCTTAATTTAATTAATTCAGATTGAAGATGTTGTATTTCATCAAGTGATTGATGTTTCTTGGTTTCAAGTTCTTTTATCTGAGCTTGATAATGAGCTTCACGTTCATTCGTAGCCATATTCTGTGTACGATCTAGACGATAGAAAATGAGATGGACATTGGAAAAAGAAATGAATAAACAAACCTCGATCTTCTAATTCAGTTTGAAGTCTTTCAATGTCTTGTTTTAGTAGAATGCTTGTTTCCTCGAATTTCGATTTTTCTTCTAGTAATTCTGTTAATTGAGTTTGAATATGTTGAGTTGCAAGAATAGCCTCTTCTAATTTATCTTCATAGTCTTTTCTTTGTTGTTCAAACTCTGATTCGGGTTGATGTATAGTTTTTTCTTCTGTATGTTCGATGATTTAAAAAAGAAAGAGAAAACTCAATGAAATAACTAATGATAACTAACCTCGTTCATTTAATTCGTCTATTTCAGTTTGAAGCTCTTTACAATGTCTTTCATGATCTTGTTTTAAGGAATCGATAGTTTCATTGAATTGATTTTCGATAGTGTTTTTGTCTTCTCTTAATTTAATTAATTCAGATTGAAGATGTTGTATTTCATCAAGTGATTGATGTTTCTTGGTTTCAAGTTCTTTTATCTGAGCCTGATAATGAGCTTCACGTTCATTCGTAGCCATATTCGGTGTACGATCTAGACGATAGGAAATGGGATGGACATTGGAAAAAGAAATGTATAATCAAACCTCGATCTTCTAATTCAATTTGAAGTCTTTCAATGTCTTGTTTTAATAGAATGCTTGTTTCCTCGAATTTCGATTTTTCTTCTAGTAATTCTGTTAATTGAGTTTGAATATGTTGACTTGCAAGAATAGCCTCTTCTAATTTATCTTCATAGTCTTTTCTTTGTTGTTCAAATTCTGATTCACGTTGATGTATAGTTTTTTCTTCTGTATGTTCGATGATTTAAAAAAGA